CCATAGCCGACCACCCCAACCCTTCTTCTACCTCCGTCACCTACACCCGTCCACCATAGCCGTCCACCCCAACCCTTCTTCCACCTCCATCGCCTACACCCGTCCGCCATAGCCAACCACCACAAACCCTTCTTCCACCTCCATCACCTACACGCGTCCACCAAAGCCAGCCACCCCAACCCCTTCTCCCACCTCTATCACCTACACCCATCCACCATAGCCGGCCACCCCAACCCTTCTCCTACCTCCGTCACCTACACCCTTCCACCATAGCCGACCACCCCGACCCTTCTTCTACCTCCATCACCTACACCCATCCACCATAGCCGACCACCCCGACCCTTCTGCTCCCTCCATCACCTACACCCATCCACCATAGCGGACCACCCCAACCCCACTTTTACCTCCACCACCTACACCCATCCACTCGAGAGTCATAGGAGGCGCAAAGGAGCACACGGAGTCCGGGTAGGGTCGGTTAAGGTGGGCCAAGGGTCAAGGGCGATTAGGATGTGGAGCCTCTCTTGCCCGCTCTCGCGCTTCCCTTCTTCTTCCCTTCCTCTCTTTCTCCTCTTTCTCCCTCTCTCTCTCCCGCTCTCTCTCTCTCTCTCTCTCTCTCTCTCTCTTTCTGTCTCTCCCCCTCGCCTCCTCTCCCCCTTCGCTCTCTTTCTCCCACGGTCCTTGACCCTTAACTCTCACCTCGTCCCTTCCGTTCCATGGCACGTAACTAACCTCTACCCTCACCTATTACATTGCCAGGGGACGAACGATAGCGAACCTTGATCCTCACTTGGTGGAAAGTGAGGGCAAGGGCAGGGCAGCCGGTCCCTTGTGCCACCAAGAAGGAAAGGCGCCGGACTGTTGTGGACGTTGGAGAAAGCGGAAAGGAGTGCTGGTTTTGTAACAAGGTCAGTTGGACTCAACCATCTTCCCCGACTGCTTGACTAAGGTGAAGGCATGGTTTGCTTGAAGGAAGGGGAAAGACAACCCAAGTAACCACAAAGGCAAAGGAAACGTTGGCATGTGGAAAGGGGCGATGTGTTGACCCCAATGGGGATTGCATCTGGTCTTTGCTCGCGTGGTTTTGTGCAGGTGAGTGTTCAGGATGGGTTGAACAGGATTGGATCCGCAGAAAACACGGGCGAGTGTGGGAAATTGGATAAGGGAAGGACTTAGACCTCACATAAACTATGAATGCAGGATGGGTTTTGACGGTTGGATGCCTGGATGAATGGTAGATGGTCGGATGCGGCTTGCATGGCGATTGAATGCAATGGCTCTCTTGAATGCAGTGTACGCCCAAAAGGACTAAGAGCAGTCTCAGATAGGTGAATGCAACGCTACCGGCTCAAGAAAAAAAAATATATAGCGGCTAGGGGTCCGGGCGACGCTGCCCCACCCCGAGGATGCCGCAGGGGCGGTCTTGAGTCGCTAGGCTTACTGAAAAGGTGTGTGGTCCAATGGATGACGCTTGGCCTACACACAAAATGAAGATAAACTCTCAATGAATTCCCTGGACTGCCTGCGTATTGGAAGGAGCAATTGCTGGGTTAGACTTAACTGAATCGAGAAAACGCCACGAGTGCCCGGAGAGCTACCATCTTGACGCGAGAGCGGATCTACATCCCCCAATGTAAAGCCCTCTCGCAAAAGGCCCATCCCCATCCATCTCAAAGCACTAGGTGGGGGTGCCCCTGGGACGAATGACCCGCATCTTGAGCATGAGCGTGAGCGGGTCGAGCCAACTGGGACCCGCAGCGGGGTTGACTTAGGCTCGAAAATCCTTCAGGGTACGGCCCTTACAAAAATGGTGGAGGTGTCGGGTATTGGGTTAAACTGACCCATACGGTCTCGAGGGGGGCGCCCGACGCATGACCGTGAACATAAACATGAAGATAAGGAATATGGATTAGTGTATGCTCTATCCCTTGAGTGCATCAAATTTGAGGGTGGCTGGGCCCATGGCAAGGCTAGGCCTGGAGGAATAACATGCATGCTCGCACGCTTGATCAGCCATGTATGCTCTATCTCTTGAGTTCATTAGATTTGAGGGTG